TTTTGGCTATGACAAAAAAAAGCTGGATATTGAAAACAGAACAATGGCATGGTGGAAGTCATTTATCATTCCGGGTCTATGATGAAGCGGAAAAAATAGCAAAATAAAAAAAAAAGTTATGTAAGGGGGAGAACTCCACACCTACTACTATGCATCTCAATAATGTAGACGTTATTTCCTTTATTCGATAGGAAACAAAATAAAACCATTTGACGAATTGACGAATTCATTTATTTTTAATTGATTCATGTTTTGTTAGGTACAATTAATAATTTCTCAATGTTTCAGCTTGATCCGTAATGGATGTGGAAGAAATAATGTATAAAGTCATCTAATGGAACCAAACCCTAAATATTTAGCCAAATCTGTGACTACTGAAAGATTAATATTCCTTGTTGGTATCAAACAAAATAATTAATTATTTCTAATAATTAATTGACTAATTTCTTAATTTTTTTAATTGATTCATATCTTGTCTATGCCAAAGAATAATTGTGCAAAGTATCAAATATCCGACAATGGGTGTGGGAGAATAAACGAGTGCAAAAGTTTTACCAGACAGAAAGAGCTTTGTGAATAATCGTAAATGGCCCTAAATTGATGCTATGATACTAATACAATGGGAAGAAAAACTCAAAGATAATATATATATATATATATATAGAGAGAGAGAGAGAGAGAGAGAGAGACTAGATGAAAACCAAGTTTCATGTTTCGCCCGGCCAATGCTTCTCGACGTCAAGGTGACGCTCGGGTGGAAACGTTCGTTAGAGGACACGATGACATCAATAAGGAAGAAGAAAAAACCCACAAGGGTTGAGTAAGGACCAAGTCCATTGCACCTAGCGGAGATGGAAGAAAGTCTTAACAAGCATGTCACTATCCTCACACCGTTCCTCGAAGAATCGTTTTCATGGCGCACACCTACACGGCTGATATGGTACAGAGGAGAGATATGGGGGAATTTCCCCGGTGTGCTCGCCTATCGGCCTTTCTTCTAATCTAATATCAGCCACCGCAATAGGGATGTAATAATTTACATCGGCTTGGATCTTTCCCAGACAGACATTTGTTCAGTCAGACAGATGGAGGCAAGCTTCCGTGGGCCTAGAGTTCCAAGAGTCATAGACTCAACTCTTAGGACAAGCTTTCATAGGCCTAGAGTTGCAAGAGTCATAGACTCAACACTTAGGACAATGACGAAGTTTCATGGTTCGAACATCATACTTTGTCTTATTTTAATTATGTTTATCAGTTCATTATTTTCATGTACTGGATTACATTGTTCAACAAAGACAAAATGGAAATCTAGGTTTTAAAAAGTTTAATTCATCACCATATATTAGATCTAGTCTCTTGACATTCTATTTTGTGTATGGCTTCTAGTGTTTTTTTTTTTTTTTTTGGGGGGGGGGGGGCAGTTACATTTTCTACCATTCACTTTTCCTGATGAATTGAACTGACGCCGAAGTAGTTCCACTGAATAGCTACTTCCGGCTGAGTGGGAGTGTGAATCATAAGCAGGAAATGGTTACGGAGGAAGTCGGGAGTCGGGAATGGGGAGGAGACGACGAGATGACATGACATTCGTCTGTAGAAAACACGTGATACTCAAGCCATCTGCACATCTGAACATTTCTATAAATAGATTAAACAATGAGATATATCGAGCCAATTCGATACGTCCATAGTTCAACAAAGGCTATGCCAGAAAGATCATAAACTTTTCATTAATCTTGTCCTACTTTGTTTCTTTAATATTACAAAATGGATAAGCAGAGAACCATTATAGTTTCTAACAATAGTCCATTTCTGTAAAGCAAAGGCAAAGTATTCAAGTTTGTATTCAGTTTTCGCGGCCTCTGAAATGGGAATTAGTTTCATGTGGTCTGTCTGTCATTCCGTTTGTTGTTAAGGCTTCCGCGCGGTGTTGATTCTTTGAAAAATAACTAGTGTAGATCTACGTCTGACTGGAAGTAACACTGAACTCAAACTACTTAAGTTACTTCGATGAAAGGCCTAAACAATTAAAATATGTAGTCGACGCTGATGTTGTTCTGCAAATATATTTAATAATCAAGAAGGGAATCGTCCGATGTCAGCTATGTCCGTAAATCCGTATATCTATTGTACTGCTCTACACGAAGCGTCTTCTTTGTAGCGTCACTTAGATCGTTCTTGTTTTTTAAAGATCTGTCACGTCATTTGTCGCTAAGTAAAACTTTCCCCTTATTCCCGAATCAAATAACTAATTCCTAATCATGTCGTAACACTGTACGTCCCGTTTAGATCTCAGAAACTAGAAAATATTTTAAAAATCCGATATCATGATATTTTAGATTTCAAAGTTCTGATGTAACTGTTACACTTTTATTTTCTAAAAAGTGAAAAGTTTAATTTTTAAAATCAACCATGCAAGCAGGTTTTTTTTTTCTTAAAAACACCATTTTTTAAAACTATTTACTATTAATAGTAACAAACACGTAAGGGTGTTTAATAATAAATACTGAACCTGAAAACGGTTTTAGATTTTTTGTCAAAAAGATGTGTTTTTTTTTTAATGTGTATTAGGACTCCTCTTTTGCGAGTTTAATGTAGAATGGCGTAAAGATCAACTCAGGCGCAATTTGGCATACAGGAAAGTAAATGGCAGCATATGACCTCTGAAAGAGACATTAGAAGAGCTCTAACAAAGGCTGCCATAACAAACATTTCAGATCTAAAGGAAAGCCATTATTGAAGACTAGCGCAGAAGATGGAAAGAAAAGTTAACTAGACCACATGTGGAGATTGTGTTTGTTGAAAGAATTGAAACTAGAAAACGTAAACAAATTACTGTGTGAATAAATGAAGTACGAAAAATGTCATTCACCAACATTTAGTTACAAATTCGCAGACATATTACCAACATTAACAATGTGTGATAGATATACTGAACTCTCCATAAAAAGAAATAAAAATAATCACCCTTTTAACCTTATAATATTCTATGACTAATACTAATAGTAAGACTGCTCTATTGATTCATATGGAAATTTGTTGTAATTACAAGGACTCTTTTCTCAAATAAAGAAAACACAACAGAAACCTACACATAAATAGAACAGACGAAACATAAAGAGTTCATGCAGCGATAACGCACAAGCATGTTGGTCCAAATTCATAAATTTATGTAAAATACATCAAGTGATTTTTAAATGATATTAATTTTTCTTTATTAAAGGAATGTTTCATTTATCAGTTACACTACCAGAGCGGCAAACACCTGGTTTGTAAATAAAACCTACAAATAAAACACAACGCTATAAATTTTAATATAAAATATGAATTTATTGTACACATTTGAAAGTAAAATTACTGCATTCAAATCAGAACAAATTCCAAAGTATTTCTTGCATCAACAACGGAAAACATTTATGTTTGTAAAAAAAGAAAAAAATGGTACACGTCTTACCAAAAGTGTTGCCAAATAGTTTCCATTACAGTTTGTAGTGGCATAGATAGATAAAGATTATCAATTTCTGTGGCCAAAGGCTAGAGAAGGTTTCGTGTGGCCAGCACAACGACCAACTCCCTTTAATTATGGCAATTATCAACAATGAGTGGGCTCAATAATCGTGCCCTAAAATCCTAAAAACATTTTTTTTATTCCAGCCTTGATCAGAAATTTCATCTCGAGAACGCAGTTCGAGATTTTCATCAATGGCGTTAAAGAGCTAGGCTTTTGGTGTATCCGGTGTACAGAAGTAAGGAAGTGCTGATACTTTTCTTATTTAGTTGGAAACAATGAAATTCAATCAAGCGTCCTTGACCTTGTTTAGTTTCTTCTGAAAATCTCCACTATATGGATGTAAAAATAAAACTTTTTAAAACTAATTCATCTATATGACAGATGTAAAGATCACCTGTTTCTGCTACTCGGCTGTCTACACTATTACCATGTGGCCAGCACATTAAACTATTTACATGTTTATGTATTTAATGCATGGTTAAGACAATGAAAGAAGGAAGGATTGAGTATTACTGGTGTCGAGAGTTGGCAGGAATATGAGCATAGATATGTACAAGGTTAGCCTAGAGTCTTAACATCAAGAAAGACTAATTAGAACTCAAACAAAACTTCTTTTCTAGTGTGTATGACCGTCATTTTCCATTTCATCACATTTAAACAAGGGAAGAAGAAGATTGTATAGGAACATGTAGTAGGATATTTGCATATTATTTTAAAACAAGTTACGTATATCATTGTCGCACTGTAGCTCAACAATGGACGGCTATAATATTCAGGTATCATTTCATATTTTAAAATATGTACATTACATACACCATGATAAATGAAAATAATTTAAAGCAATTGATACAAATACTTTTAAATGTGTACAAATGTATCTGCGTAAAGAAAACACACAGAGTCAGTTCTATTAAAATAAGCTTACTATGGAATTATTGATAAAATTTATTTAGAAAAGGGATTCTAATGCTATTCTTGTAGGCGCTTACGAAATGATATATATATATGCCAGGGAGTAGATGAAACAAAAAGGGTCCTGGGTGTTAGTGATAATCATCTAATGCTTACTTATATGTCGCGAAACGTTTTTGTTGTAGCCCATGAGACTTCGCCAAACTAAGCCGAAATACGAGCTCTTTACTGTAGTTCTATTAGCAAGAGGGATCGTTAGCCTTGCTGGCTATCCACCTTCGAGAAGGAAAACTCTGAATGCAAACCTCTGCGGCTATAAACACACATGTGAAAAACTTCGAAAGTCAACCCTGAGACAAAAACAAGCCCGCAGCACACACTGCTACACCCTGGAGGAGCTTGCAACACACACTGCTACACTCTGGCAGAGCATGCAGCACACACTGCTACACCCTGGCAGAGCCTGCAGCACACACTGCTACACCCTGGCAGAGCCTGCAACACACACTGCTACATTCTGGTAGAGCCTGCAGCACACACTGGTACACCCTGGCAGAGCATGCAGCACACTCTGCTACACCCTGGCAGAGCATGCAGCACATACTGCTACACCCTGGCAGAGCCTGAGACTCTGCTGATTCAAACCATCAAGGAACACATCAGCTGAGTGGAGAGAGCAGAGAACTGCTGTGTTGCAGAAAACGTTCTTACCATTGCTTATGCCCAGGCTTTCATGTCATTTCTGAGATGATCCTTAGTCGCTTGGGGAGCAGAAACACTATAACACAGATATCATGAGACTCTGCGTGTGTCACAGATTGACATTATCTTAACAAATGTACATTGGTTAATACTAAAGAAAAAGTTTGACTAATGAGTATTACTGCTATGGACTGTAAACTTGGTACAAATACAATTCATATGTCCTAAAAATATTAAAATATTTACCAACAATAAGTAAGAAACATATTTTATTTTGTTTCGCTGCTGTTAGTGCTTTTTTTTTTAATGAAACAAAATTCATCTACTTTTACAAATTTATTTCAAGTCCAATTTCTGTAAATCACAACCGTAATCAACCTTTCATGCATTAACCTCAACTATACAATTGTCTTTATGCACATCAGACTTGAGTTCTACCAAATGTAAAGCAGACTGCTACGTTCTCACATGTGTTTTTAGAAAATCTCCTAACGACTGATCTTCTTAGATCTACAACATTAGAGTCATATAGACTGAGCTAGTTCAATATAAGTGTAGCATCGGCTTAAATAGCATTCAGTAACGTTGTATATCGTTTTCACGAGAATAACCGCACAGTTATAATGAAGATTTATATATGATACAAACAAAAATAAGGCATGTAAAAAGGAGGGTTAAAAAGTTTATGGATAGGCCAGAAAAAAAAAGAGTTTGTCATAATAAAAACATTCTTTCATTGGAATAAAGTTTATGAACAATAATGTACACTGTGCCCTCCTATGCAATAACTGTCATGTTAGCTTTCTGAAGAATATTGCCATTATTCTGCCTAATTAGTCCCCATAATGTCACCGAGAGGAAGTTGAACACAGATTGCAAGAGTCAAGTTAGTTGTTTTTTTAGGAAGGAATACATGACCAAATCAACTGGCGCTCTCCATTTTTAAGTATGACTTCATCTTCAAAAGGAGTCCAGATGTGGCGAATGGTTAGAGAAACCATATCCAATTCTCTAATATTTTTGTGTGTGTAAAATAAAGATGTTCTCTTTAGTCTTATGCAGAATGATACGAAATGGAAGCTTAATGGCTGTCTCACTGTGCAGCTACAGTCTTCAAATCGATCTCACAAATCAGCAGTTCCCACAACATGGAAAAAGTATTAATACTTATGATAACCTAAGACTCCAGTCATGAAAGGTTGATAAAGCTTTAGGACAAAATAGAATCGACTGGATCCTGTTCATTTTTCTTTCGAGTTGTGACGTTTGATTGAAGACGTATTTAGGTTCCTCTTGAACGTGGGAGATCTTTCGAATGCGAGGTTGGATGGTATGGTCAGAACTGGCCCCTGCTCAATGGTGGCTATGTCCCCGTCTATCCTGGTGGGAGACGGACACTGGGAGTAGTTGATGACCGAGCTTTCCACTATGTTCCTGTCATGGAGGGTACTTTTTCGCAGCGTCACGCCCTCATCCTCCCTATTCAACTCGTTTTCAAAGAAGACAAAACATGCGCCCTCTTCACTTTCGGACTCCGTAGTGCTTGGGGTGGGGTAAGGATTGGCATCCTCCCCGTGAATCGACTTGTAAAAAGGCTGGAAATCATCATGAGTATCTGAGTCATCCCAAGAGGCTAGGTTGTTTATCTTGCGCTTGGCAACCGTCTTCACATCTGTTTCATCAGTAGACATCTCTGAAAAATTGCTTTCTGAGTCCATGGAATCACTGAGGTTCTTATCCATGTTTTCATCTTCACCACAACTCATTTTTTTGGCCGAACCGCAGGGCGGTGGGTTCATTAGAAGGCCACAGTCAGTCATGTCTTGGAAAAACCCTTGACTGTCTAGAGAAGACATGGACGTAGGGCTATCGGGAAGGTTGCATGTGTTGCTTAGAGTGCCGTTGCTTAGTCGGGGGTCATTGATGGGAATATGTTGGGCTTGGGTGTCTGTGATGTTCAGCTCATGCCTGTAGTGTTCCTCGTTGTCACCACAGCTGTAAGTGATCATGAAGCTACTGTCAGTGCTTACGGAAGAAACCAAATTGCCATTGTAGGTGGAAGCATTCTCATTCGCATCTGACATATCTAGGCTTTGGACCCATTCAAGGCAGCGTTCATTCTTTTCAACCTCTAGCCTTTTCGGTAAAGGCAGTGGCGGTAATGGTTTATTGGCATAAGCACATTTTGGTGGAAGCCTTGGCGGTACTAGTGGTTTGACTTCATCGACAGGTTTGCCTTTTGAAGAAAACGAATGCGGTTTTGGCGGTAAAGGTGGAGTTCGTCTTGGTACAGCCGAAAATCCGGGAACTCCCGGTCTATAAGTCTCCCCAGAGTCGAACTGGCAGCTTTCAAAATCAAGATGATCCATATCTGAATTCTCTTGAAAACTCTCAGCAGAAATGTAGGCGCTCAACCCGTTGTCCCTCTGTATAGATATGTACCGGTGGCTACCAGACTCCGAGGAACAGAAGGAGGACTGTAATTCTGAGAAGCCCGTTGTTGCCGAGCTTACGGATGGCTGTCTTCTAGGGATTCGGCGAGGTGGCGGTGGTGCTGGGTAGTTAGGTGGACAATCTTCTCGTTTGTTCTCTCCAAAAGGCACAACTGAATGAAGAAATGAAACAAATTGTTATATTAGTTAAAAACACAGTTTTCCATTGCTATAGAAAGCAATAGAACAGATACCAACTTGAGGGGGGGGGGGGTCAGATAACAATTTAACATTGTATAAAGATTGTACCGTTGGTAGTTGCTTTTTTTTTTGTACAAAGCTCACTTTGTCTGTGTGGTAAAAAGTGTACACGTTATTTCTCCACACCATTCTCGCATCAAGCTGAAACTTTGCATAAATATTTATTGGCGTAGACCAGACAGGAATCAATAAAAGAATAACAAAACTTAAATCTATTTATTTTTTTAAATACCCAATTAGTCAATTAATTATTAATAATATTAATGATTTGTTTGATATCTAATAAGGGAAATGACTTCCAAGTTATTGATACATAAATTTGTAAGTGTGTAGTTCTTAGACATCGGTAGCAAAGACAAACAGACACAAAAGCTATGTTGTTCCCCTGACAATTAAATCATTAGAATCCATCTGATATAAACTTTTCACATGCAAATTATGAGTGAGTCTGGTGTGAATGTATATTTTGGTTTTCTATAATTATGTTTTGTTTGGTGTAATGCACACATTCTACCACAAATTTTTTCTCATGGATAATAAAGGATATTATAATAATAATTATCATTAATATTATAACCTTTTTTTTTTTTTAAAAAAAAAAAAAAAGATTTTTTAAATATTTTGCTTGTTTTAATAATTACATGATGTTAACGCGTTTGTTAAGTAAATGAAAGCATACAAAAAATTACATTTTAATTTTGTTTTATCTAATTATAACTAAAATTGTGTATGTTTATTTTCCACAATAAAAATACATTATGTAATGTAATAATGTAATGTAATATAATTAGAGTGAGATTAGATCCCAATTTGAAAATATTATTTAAAGCACAGCTGCTTAGAATTGATATATAGAATTGATATATTAATCTAAAGGCTGAGTTTGAGAATTGCTGCAAGAGAATCTCTAGGATTGGTTTCAAATGTATGTAAGTTATAATTCGACTAGTAAATTTTAGTGTATACATCTTCTTCAGAACTTCAGAATCGGATAATGTATACCGATCTTTTAGCAATTATGTAAAGATGTATATGTTTTTGTGTGTACAAGAGTTGCTCCTCTTGAAAGTTACTGTGACGAGCACATTTGCCGGGGATTATATTATCAATACTTGAAAATTCAATGAAATGAAGAAAGAAATATCTCTCTGCATTTTCTTCAAACCTCTATAATAACTTCTTCAACTTTCACATCAAATTAACTTTTTAATTCAATAACAACTTGACTTGATACTTCATAAATAAAACTTAAATGATACATGAAACTTCACTTAGTATAACTTCAACTTCAACTACTAAAACTTTACTTAATGGACCCGCTAATATCATAAAACTTATTAGTAATCGAAGACTGTGTGAGGACCAACGCTCTACAAGAGCTACTTCTATGCGAGGACCCCGTCTAACTCACTTTCCCTTAATTTATACTTTCTTTGATCGTACGTTCCAGAATCCTGGAACCTTCTCCGATTATTATTTTAGTAACTTTGACCTTCTAGAAGCTGACGTGTGCTATTTTTTCCCTTAACCTCTTTCTTCGATTGGATATCTAAAATTAACTTGTTTACGCTGGACACTTGCACGAGCTTCTAGAAACTGGTCGAAATAGGTCACAGACTCGACTCGTGACAGTTACCTCTTAAGCGCCAAAGGCGTATCTCTACTCTATGCATTTCAAAGTAAAGGGCAAGGTCACATGTGCTGACTGGAGCCTCCAGCCTGTCATATTCTCTGCCGCTTCTGGAATAAATAAAAAAGGAACATAAATCTATCAATTAGAGATAGTCAAATTATTTCCGAATCATTAACATAAAACCTCTAAAACATTTCAACTTTATTTTGTTCTTGAAATTAATAGTTGTAAATTGAATATTGGACACTATAAATAGGGGTGTTTTTAGTTTAATAATATTGAATGTCATAAAACCTAGATTACATAAAGAATTAAACTCCAGCCTACTCAGTTAGCCTGGAAAGGTTTATTATACTCTTCCTCCCCCCCCACCACCCCCACCCACACATATGAAAAAGCGAGGTGGCTGAGTGCTAAAACTCTTGGCTTTTGAACCGGGGGACCTGGGTTCGAAGACAGGGATTTTGAATTTCGGAATCTTTATGGCTTCTATGAGTCCACCCAGCTCTCGTGGGTACCTGACATTAGTTGGTGAAAAGCAAAGGAGGTTGGTCATTGTGCTGGCCACATGACACCCTCGTTAACCGTGGGCCACAAAAAAAAAAAAAAGATGACCTATACATCATCTGCCCAATAAATTACAAGGTCTGGTAAAGTTTACCTGTGAACGAACACCCAGTTGTCTACGACGTTGAGAATGAACGTCTCATTGGCCTTGGGTTTGATCATCAACCTTTTCCCTTTGTACTCCGGCAGGTTCGGTGTCCCTTCACACCGCAGCAAGGGGTCATTGCCGTACTCGCCGTGCCTTCTGGAGGCGCAGATGCGCAGGTAGCTTCCGGTCTGGTTGGAGCCTTCCGGTCCGTTCACTTCCAGCTTGAATTGCTCACCGGGTCTCAGGCACCCGTTATCT